CAAATAAGAATATAATGACAGTCATTATATTTTATGTAAAATAGAAACTAGGAGAACTTCATTCAGAGGAGGCACCATTCGAATTTACAAAGAAGGGTCACGGAAAAGAAATTAAGTTGGCATCATGTGTACGGGTACTGTCATTGAAAGAAATGGTTTTGAATCATTTGCATGAACATGAAAAGTAGGTCCAAATGTTTCTTATTACTTTTTTGGAATTAACTGGTTTTATACTAATTTTAACAACACAAAATTTCTTAAATTATAGATATGGAGATCTTGTTTGGCATGATGGCCTTATACCAAAGGGAGAGTTATGGTTGAAGATTGGTGGGGATAAGGGTGGGGGGAGCTTCAAAATGGTGTTTGAAATAGGAAATTTGAAGAATCCAAATTCAATGGAGAACACATGTATCTTCTCTATGTTTAACGCTGCTGACACTCCATATAATCTATCAATTGGTCTTGAAGGATTTAGTAATACAGTTGAATGYTTAAATGGACATAAATGGAGGTATATTTATTTTCAATATTATATTTTATAATCCTCTGTAACTCTATATTGAAAAAAATGTCCAATTCCAATATCATATACATGTATTCCATTATAGGAAATGGGAAATAAAAGTTTTTGTATTTGGTGATTATGCCTTTCTCTGCACTATATATGGCCTTTCAGGAGCAAGTGGTAGGTCATCTAGTCATCATCCAGTACAAGCTAATAATATCTCAGTATATGTCATTTTAAATGAAATAACAGATAATCTCTTATAAATTCACTCTTTCTGTAAAGTGATTTTTTGACTTTACGCACATTATGTGAGTCAATGATGACTGACTAACAGATTAGTGTTATATATACTGATTTTCAAAAAAATCATTGCAGGCAAACATTTTTGTCTGTGGTGTCTCATTAGTCTTGATGAAATCTCAATTCCACTGAGTGAGAGGGGCCATAAAGCTAAACGGACTTTACAAGGTACCTTTAACTTGTACAAAAAATGTTTTGTTCTGGCTTTAAACATGCAATGACTAGAAATAAATATTACTATGTTATTTCAAGTGAAAATTAAAGTATATTGCATTTATTGATTTTAAGGGATTATTGATGACAACAAGAAGTTTCAAGCTGGGGGATCCAATCTTAAGAAGGCTAAACTATTCAATAATGCAATTACACAGCCAATGTTTGCAATACCAATAGATCAGGTACATTAAAACAGAAACTTTAATATTAATCATTACCTTTTAATCATTATATTGATGATCACAATCCTTCTCAGGTATGTCCTCCAGCCCTACATATCAGCATAGGGATCTTCAATAGATTGTTCGACTTGCTGGAGCAATCATTTGGAATACTAGATGTTAAAATTGCATATTCTTTGGCTGGAAGAAAAGAGAAGGTAAAATTTAAAATGAAAAGATTTCATCCTAATAATATTTAAGTAATAGCATGCAAATTTGATAATATGTTAATTTCATCCAACAGCATGGAAGCACACAATTCCAGACCTACATTGATGAACTTCAGAAGGCCAATGAGCTCGAGGCAGAAGCGCAAATTGAGAAAGAAAAGGCAGATGACTTGTCAAATATGGCAACATACATTTTACTAYACACAGAAAATGCTGAGCAAGCAAAAGAACTTGACAATGAAGSAAATGAAATAAGGAATAAAGTTTCTGAAATGGTAAATGAATGTTGTGAAAAAATAAATCAAAATACTTTTTAAATTATATATAAAACATATATCATCAAACAAATACAATTTTGAGCTCAAAGTACATGTATTCTATACATGTARCAATAAGTAACAATAACAAATATTATGTAGTGTATATTATATAAAAACAAACGTTTCTAAATCATTTGTTTCAACTTAAGGAAAATGAGATCAACAAAAGACGTTCAGATGCAACATGTGAAAATGGTCCTTGTAAAGAGAAACTAACTAGAGTATTAAAAGACATAGGAGCAGAAAGACAGGCTTACCATGGGGGAACGTTCAATGGCAATCAYACCCATAAGTGTGTTCAGGTATACAATTACAACATAAGAAAGAGTACTATTTCTTGCATTTATGTCATATAAGAAATTAAACCATTCAAATCCTTTCATTGTCAATTTTTTTCTAATTACCAAGTGGTTACCAAGTTTGTTATTTTTGCATCATAATTCAACACATATTTTTTTCTATTTCAGAAGAAAAACATTGAATYGTTGACCAATATACCGAAGGAGGCATGCAGCCAAACACCAGATTTAACACAAGAGGCCAATGAGCTATCAAATAAATTCAAAACTGTATTGACATCGTTCAGTAAATGCCACAACATTTATACTATGAAAGGAAAGCTTTCCAATGAGGAAATTACAACCCTTGGTAAATAAAATTCAGTGTTGCATTAATTTTGTTTTAATTTAATTGCAAGCGCAAGACCTATAATTAAGAAATATAAAACGGCCGCACGTGTCTCTGTTCTCTGATACAAACACAGTGGAAGATGGAGAGCACAAGACGAAGCAAGCTTAGGAACACGAGCTCAGCGAGTGTTTCTTTTGCTTCTCGAGTGCTCTCCATCTTCCACCGTGTTTATATTAGAGACCAGAGACACAAGCGGCTGTTTTATATTTCTTTTATAATTTTTTTTTGCCTTTTTAAAGCGCGCGAGCGTCAAACCATGTCTCTGTTCTCTTATATAACACGGTCATCAGCCAATGAGAGCGCGAGTTGTATCTCAAAAATTTTATAAAATGAAATAAAATTGTTGCTAATAATAAATATTATGAAAACAATCATTTTTCAGGTAAAGAAATTGACAACTTTATGAGTCTGTACAGACTAAACTTTACAGCAACAATATTACCCAAAATGCACTTTTTGGAGGACCACATGATGGAATGGGTTAGAAGGTAATCTGTTACTAAGACACATGTTAAATGTACTATTACAACACATCATTATACGAGTGCATGCCACATAAGCATGAAACATTTTTAACATGTAGTGCTAAATAAGATTTAGTTATCAACTAAGAATTGAGAACAATGCTACAAAGGAATTTGGCATTGTGCTTATGCTT